AAGACATTTTTCCCCTGAAACCAAAATTATAATTATTCTGAACATGAGAGCCAAAAGAACCGAAAAAAAATCTAAAAGCCGAATAGGAAACAAAAAACATGTCATATTTTCCTTTCCCCATCGCTGCTTATACTTTCCGCATGCTTTCCCAACGGAGTGTCGTTGTGCATAGGATTTAGCAGGGAACGGAGAACGGAGATTTCATAATAACGCCCCGCAACATGCTGGGCAAAGCAATGCCAAACGAAGTGTTAACAGCCGTATATTATAAAGATACAGTACACAGCCAAACTTTTTTAAAGGCGCATGGGCTTGGTCACGTGACGAAAAGTGAACGCCATCACTGCTAGAGTGGTGATAGTCTTCAGAAGAAAAGAGCAAAAATCAATGAAAACATCAGAAAACTACTAGACCTCACAAATGAGGAATGGGCAACCTAGGTGGGTTGAGTGCGAACAGATTAGATAATTGAGTGACAAAAGAAATGATGATGGATAACCCAAACGACTAATGTAGTGGATTATGACATTATGGTGTATTCTGGTTTATCAGATTTGAGTTTCTAGGTGATCAAACTTGGATATTCATGATCAGCTCAAAAAGCCGGTTTGAATGAGTATAATCATGACTAGGTTTTGAAAAACTTTCGATTGTTTGGGTCTCACCAAGAAAACAAAAAAAAAACCATCATATGTTGGTCAATTTTGGGCTGAACTCATTGAAAACTGTAGCTTATTGCTTCAAGACAACTCGCTTAAAAACAGGTACCATACAAATGAAGCTGCCTAAAAAATTATGTGTATGTCCAAGTGAGCAGGGTCTCACTAGACTCTAGACTGAATTCAATTTGAAAATCCTAAGTATTGACAATATTTTTCACAAACGTGACCCCCCCCCTCCCTATCATTATCCTGATCATCCCCATTCCCCACAGATTTTCATTATTCAATATTCTGAGGGACTCTCAGTTTGAAATTCGACAGAAAGTTATCGAAATTCCCGTTCGAAGAGAATCTCATCACCGCCGATGGATTCCTATAAGCTCTCTCGAAAGAGGTAAGATCATATTATCAACTTTCTGTTCCTCAAAATTATTTTTTTCAGAAATCATCTCTTGAAATGGAGCATTGCTCCCACACCATCCTGGACTCTTCTCTTTGTGTCCTCCATATTATTGTCTCAATCGATGTTGGTCGCTGGATACGTTCTCCAAGATGAATACCAGGCCAATGGTCATGAAGACTCTTCCCATTTGAATTCTGTGAATTCTAATCGTTCCCGTCGTGATGGTGAGTATTCATGTAGTTATTAGGATTTCAAAGTACGTAGCCAAACGTTTTTGAAAGCGCATAATTGGCCACGTGTTGCGTGGTGGTATTATAAAGGTACGCTACGCAGCCTTTTTAAAGGCGCATGAGCTTGGTACCGTGATTAATAGTGACCACCACCACTGCTAGAGTGGCAATTCGTGATGAGACCATGACCATGAGCCTTTAGATAGGTTTGACTGCGTACTGTACCTTTCTAATAGCTAGCCAGGCGAAACTAATGAAGATTTTTCTGTGACCTCTATAAAGCGAATGCTTTCAGACATTTTCTCAAAATTGTCTGCGCCTTTAAGAGCTTTTGGCTATGTACTGTGTTTCAGAGCGGTTTATTGAGTTGATTTTGGCTGACTTTGAGCATCTGCGACGTAATTGAATACTGATTGTCGGCTTCAAATCCTTTTCTTTCTGTATTGGACACTTTCCAGTCAAAAAGTGCTCAAAGTTAGCTAAAATCAACTAAAACCCCGTTTTGAAATAGAATTGTGACCTGTACCGTGAAAATCGAAATTCGATATTTTCAGCCGATGGATATGACGTCCCTTCCCACTTGAATTCTGTGAATTCTAATTGTTCCCGTCGTGATGGTGAGTTTTCAAACAAGCCGATAAAAATCAATAATCGATATTTTCAGCCGCCGAATTCACAGCCGCCGTTGAAAACCTCCAGCACCTAGCCCGTATCTCTAATGCCATTTCCCTTCAAACTGGTCTCTCCACTGAAACAATTCCACTTGATGATTTTCTCTCTGAAATTCTCCATATGGGAAATGTGAAAATCAATGAGATTGCTGGTTTGGATGAGACTAAGGTCTATGGATTTATCGCTGAATTGGAGAAAATACTGAAAAACACTCCCTCGGACAAAGTTACGGACATTGAAAACCGCTTGATTTCCCTGGAAAACATCAAACAGAAGGCAGCTTCTTTCATCGATTTCTCCGATTTTCCTGGCAAAGAAGAGTTTCTGGCTGACTTGGGCAATCTCACTGACCTCAAAACTGTGAAAGATGGAGTCACAAAGTTGAAAAAACATGTTTCTAACTTGAAAAACGATCTGAATAAACTGGGAAACTTGGAGGCAAACGTCGATGATACAAACATTGATGATGTGGCCGCGACTTCCCATTTGATTTGGATTACAATGGGTAAAATCGAGTCAGATGTCAACTCCTTAGATCTCGACAAGTTGGGAATGGTCAGAGGTATTGGTGAGAAATCGACTTTCATTGATCTTTTCTTGGCTGAAAAGGAATTCCGTGATCAGTTAAAAAATCCAGATTACACTGAAGTCGATTCTGTCTGGAAAAACTTTGAAAGTGTTTATGCAATCGCTGAAAAATCCGGTGATTCGCTCAGTAACTTTGAGACCATCAAGAAACTGATTGCAAACAGAAAAGAGCAGCACGGCCAGACATTCATGTACACTGCTGGTCTTCCACATGGCTCGTCTGATTTGAAAGTGTTACGACGAACTGCTGCTAGAGATTTCATAAGATACCATATTTTTAATAGTGAATCCATCACGGAGAGTCTGAGAAAGGCCTTTGATCCATTTGAGGACCTTGGCCAAGATCTCAAAGCAGTTGAAGACGCTTGGGAAAACCCTTCAAAATCCAAGTCCATCGATGAAATCACAAAAGCCATTTCCCTCCTTTCCGTGGTTTCTACAATACCACACTCCACTGATCTTGCAAAGAAATTGAAGGCGTGTCAGGATCCTGTTGATAGGTACCCGAAAATTGGAATCAAAGCAGTTGATGAATTGAATGTTTTGGTCAATAACTTGAAGATAGAGCTCAAAAAGATAAGTAAATTTGAATACATTTCCAAATTGACTGATCTCAAAGTGCACAAGGATGAGTTTTCCCTTGAAGGAAAACCTCAAGAAGACCAGATAAAACTTGCTCAAATTATTCTGGACAAATACGGCCCTTCTCAACAAACTGTGACTTCCTTTGAGACTGAAGTGACGACTCTTCTTGATGATCTCACAACTGTTGAAACTGTCATTGGTAACCTTCCAAATCTGACTTCTCAGATAGATTTACAATTGGTTGAAGAGTATCACTCAGGTGTCAATTACAGTTCCAACTACCTTGACATGTACAAATGCTTGGCTGGTATTTCGGAAGACACATCTCCAGTCAAAAAGATGATTGAAGTACTCAGAGACTTGAGAAAAACATCCATTCCCTCTGAAACTAGAAGAGAATTCGAAAGTATCATAAATTCCAAACGATCCCTCAACACGGTCAAAACCACAGCTGAGAAGCTCAAGAAAGTGGAGACTATTGAGGTAACAACTATGATGGATTCGTTCAAATCGATTGAGGCCTATGACTCGATTTCCTACAACTTAGGAATGGGTGTTCAAGGATTAGCAGCAATTGAGAAGGTCTTCAAGTTCAAATCCAGCTTCCAGCCTTTCCTGCGTAAAGATCAAGAGATTTTGAAGCATTCCAAGAGTCTTAGCAAGGAGCAGAATGAAAACTTGGCGTTATTGAGTGAAGTCTCTCGAATTTTCGACGACATTGACTATTTCTTGCAAGAGAGTCCTCAAGGTTTCCGTAGAAAACGTGATGCAAATTTCGAGAGTGTTTCGAAAATTTTTGATGATGTCCCTGCCAAAATCAAGGGTGTGGAAATCAACATGAAACATTTTGTGGAAGGACTGCAGGTGCTGCACAATCTGGATGCGAAAACTTTCAATGACCCTTCTCTTGACCTCAAGACTCTGGATCTGAACTTCGGCAAATTCAATTATGCTGATGCCAAGAGTTCCTTGCCAAAAATGGATAGTTTCTTCATGGATTATGTCAAAAAATGACTGTCACGACAGCTGCTCCTGTGATTACTCCTCCACCTCCATCTTTGAGACCTCCTTCGGAACCAACTGCATCTGGTCTAGTGGAGCCAACATCAGGAGCATTTCATGAAAATCATCCGATTGCTTAGTGAGTTTCAATATGTTTAGATCCCATAATAACTTTTATTTTTCAGCGTATTCTTCCTTATTGGAGTGTGGTCGTGGTGAGTGTCTTCTGTTATCATCGGAAAAAAGAAACAGGATGATACTTTTGATCTATCACTTTCTATTATAGATAAAGCTGATAAATTTAATTTTTCTTCTCTTTTGAAACACGTAAAGGAAACATTTGAAGGCGCATTTCCAATATTTGACACTTTTGTTTGTTCCCAACTTATGTCCGGAAAATCCGAATAATTTTTGAAAAGCTTCTCAAAAAACATGAGAAAAAAAATAATTAATCATTATCGCCGTGAACTTTCACGTCCCGCCCCTCTCTCCCCTTCCTTTTTTCATCCACGTGGCCTGACCTGCCCTGGTCACCGTGTTCTTCCTTTCCCGCCGCCCATCCCCCCACAGAAATTCAGTATCCAATATGCATAGCGACATCGGAGCTTCAATTCTGAAAAAGCTAACAGAAATTGTTAGTCAAGAAAAAGAAATTTCGACGCCGCCACCTATGGAATCATTCAACCAATCTCGCAAGAGGTAAGTCCATCAGGTTCTCGTTTCTTCTAAGCAGGGGGGGGGGATATCAAAAAGTTGAACATGTTAGAACTGAAAACTGGAGAAAAAGTCATTGAACCCCTGGTCAAGATTAGAGAATTTCCGCATTTATAAGGGCCAAGGAAGGCGCTTCTCACTTTAGCCCCTATAGCGCAGTCGGTAGTACACGTGGCGCCGAACCCACGTGGCGTGTAGGTTCGACCCCCACACGTGGCAATAGTTTTTGTTTTTTTTTTAATTTATGGTAACACCACATCTTACGACAAATTGCGTATCTGCATCAATTCTAGCACTAGTTTGGTGTAACACTTTGCTCTCCGGCCATCTTAAATCTAAACTTTCAGAAACTCCCGTTCTAAGAGGATCTCATCACCACCGATGGATTCGTCTAAACTCTCTCGAAAGAGGTAAGATCATATGATCAACTTTTTGATCCTCAAACTCTATTTTTTCAGAAACTCCCATTTGAAATGGAGCACTGCTCCCAAATCCTCTTCCAAACCATGGACCTTCCTCCTTGTGTCCTCCCTATTATTGTCTCAATCAATGTTGGTCGCTGGATACGCTCTCCAAGAAGAATACCAGGCCAATGGTCATGAAGACCCTGTTAATTTGAATTCTGTGAATTCTACTCGTTTCCGTCGTAATGGTGAGTAGTTGAAGTAGTTGGAAGAGTCACAGTATGTAGCCAAATATCTTTAAAGGCGCGTGGAATTGCCACGTGTTCAATCAATAAAAATTTTGAGAAATGAGCGGCCACCACGTGGTTTTTTGTCATCCCGCTTTGAGAGATTTTCTCAAAATTGTCTGCGCCTTTAAATAGATTTGGCTATGCACTGTGAATTCTTAGAGATTTGGCAATAATCATATTTCAAAACCAGGTTTTTGGTTGATTTTGGTTGAATTTGAGTATGTGCCACGTAACCAATAATTGTTCCTCTGGTTCAGTTTTTTTCTCATTTTTGTATTGTATGTGCAACCACTTTTCAGCCAGAAAATTGCTCAAAGTTAGCCAAAATCAACTAAAAACCCCGTTTTGAAATAGAATTATGGCCTGTGATGTAATATAAAAACCTAAAAATAAATATTTTCAGCCGATGGATCTGACGACCCTTCCCATTTGAATTCTGTGAATTCTAATCGTTTCCGTCGTGATGGTGAGTAGTGAAAATAGTTTGTAGAGCCACAGAACGTAGCCAGATGTTTTTAAAGGCGCATGGACATGCCACGTGTTCAATCATGAAAAAATTTGAAAAATGAGTGGCCACAACGTGGATTTTTGTTATTCCAGAAACGTGGCTTTCTATATTCCCTTCAAGACATCTTCTTGAAAACCACTGTGCCTTTAAAAAAATTTGGCTATGTGCTGTGAATTCAGAATGAACTGGCAATAATCGTATTTCAAAACTGGTTTTTTGAATTAATTTTGGTTGACTTTGAGCACCTGCCACGAAACCGAAAATTGTACCTCGGCTTCGATTTCGCAGCCACTTTCCAGCTGGTCAAAGTCAGACAAAATCAACTAAAACCCTGTTTTGAAATAGAATTATGGCCTGTACTGTAATATAAAAATCCAAAAAAATAATAATATTTTCAGCCGATGGATATGAAGACCCTCCCCATTTGAATTCTGTGAATTCTACTCGTGTCCGTCGTGATGGTGAGTATTCAAAAAACTTATAAAAATAGAAAATCGATATTTTCAGCCGCCGAATTCACAGCCGCCGTTGAAAACCTCCAGCACCTAGCCCGTATCTCCAATGCCATTTCTCTTCAAACTGGCCTTTCCACTGAAACGATTCCTCTTGATGATTTTATCGCTGAAATTCTCCATATGGGAAATATGAAAATCGATGAGATTGTTGGTCTGGATCAATCTGTAATTGATGAAATCACAAAAGATTTGGATGATCTCCCGAATGGCCTTCCAGAGTCAAAAGACATTACCGAGCTTGAAAAACGGTTGGTTCTCTTAGAACACATGGGACAAACCGCAGAATCTTACAAAGACTTTGCAAATTTTCCTGGGAAAACAGAGTTTGTGGCGGATTTGACAAAAATTGCCGAACTTGGTCAGATTGAGTCAGCTGTATCAAGCTTCAAAAACGCAGTTGATATCCTGGAAAAGGTACTGAAATCAGTTCCGAAAGAAACCGATGATAAAACACTGCCAGATGCCTTGCTCACGCTTTCTCAAGTTCCGGGCTCGATAACCGCATTGGAACGAGGTTCCAATGTTTTCGATATTGCCAAGATAAAAGAAGCTAAAAGTATTGGGAAAAAAGCCAACTTTCTTGATCTTCTATTTGATGAATACAAGAATCGTAAAGAGCTGAACGGTTTCATGTTCAAGACTAAAGATGTTGATGCTCTATGGAGTAGTTTCAAACGTATCAACTCCACCTCTCTAAAAGCTGCCGAATCACTTGATACTCTCAAAACTATCGGGAAATTTGTATCTATAAGAGAAGAAGGGCAAAAAACCTATCAATACACTGCTGGTTTCCCCAAAGGCTCATCTGACCTGAAGCAGTTGCAGTTTAGTGTTAGTAGTGCTTTCATTGATCAACACATTCCCAACTATGCAGCTATCTCGAATGAATTGAGAAGCGCATTTTCATCATTTGAAGATTTGACTCGAGTACTCTCAGGTATTGAAGAATCTTGGGAGAAAGCTTTGAAAGATAAAACCAAGATCATCAATAACTTCATCGGAACTATTGAAGAACTCACGAAAGTTTTTGATAGCTCGCAGTTCTCGTTAACTCATGCTGACGAACTGAAACAATGCCACAAATCTGTTCTATCATTTCCATGGATGGATTTTCAGCCAGTAGAGCAAGTGTGGAAATCGATAAATGATCGAAATGCAGCACTCGGAAAAATTAGCGAATTTAAAGGCATTTCTGAATTCAAAGATCTGACGGCACTGAAAAGCAAATTTGTGACAAAAGGCGATTTGCAAGATGCCCAAAGCACTCTCGCCAAACTGCAAACACCCGAAATAAAAGAGTTCGAAAGGAAGGTCACAACTCTTGCGGAAGAGCTTGAGATCTTGGGAAGTGCTATCAAATTTCTTGGAAATCAATCGTTTGATTTGACGGAGGTCGAGAATTATCATGACTTTGTTAAAAATGCTCCATCACACCTTGATATTTACCCTTGCTTGGGAAAAGTTCAATCGAAAGACTCCCCTGTCAAAACGACCATTGCAGCCATCCAAAAAGCAAGAAAGATTTCTGTAGCCACTGAAGCTAAGGACGTTTTCAAAAAAGTCACCTCCTCTCGTGATAGTCTTTCTTCGGCAAAAACTGCAGCTGAAACTCTGAAAGAAGCGAAGAAAGAGGAAGCATCAACTATGATGGATTCGTTCAAAGCTATTGAAGCCTATGACTCGATTTCCTACAACTTAGGTATGGGTGTTCAAGGATTATCAGCGATTGAGAAGGTCTTCAAGTTCAAATCCAGTTTCAATCCATTCCTGGGTAAAGATAAAGTCATTTCACAGCACGCTACTAGTCTTAGCAAGGAGCAGAAAGAAAACTTGGCGTTATTGAGTGAAGTCTCTCGAATTTTCGACGACATTGACATTTTCCTTCAAGAAAGTCCGCAAGGTTTCCGTAGGAAACGTGATGCCAATTTCGAGAGTGTTTCGAAAATTTTTGATGATGTCCCTGCCAAAATCAAGGGTGTGGAAATCAACATGAAACACCTCGTAGAAGGACTGCAGGAGTTGCACAAACGGGATGCGAAGACTTTCAATGACCCTTCTGCCGATCTCAAGACTCTGGATCTGAACTTCGGCAAATACGATTTTGTCAATGCCAAGGCTTCCCTGCCAAAACTTGACAATTTCTTCATGGATTATGTGAGTAAGAAGACAGCCACGACGCCTGCTCCTGCTACTCCTCCTCCAGTGATCACTCCTCCACCTCCGACTTCAAGACCTCTACTGTTAGCAACTGCTTCTGGTCTAGTGGAACCTACGACAGAGATGGGTGCAATTGCAGCTTTCCGTGAGAATCATCCGATTTTTTTGTGAGTTTTAATATTTTTAGAATCTATATAAAAACTTATATTTTTTTCAGCTGGATCATCGTCGGATTCTTTGTGCTTTTGTTCATAGCTATCATTATTGTCATCATCCTCTGCTGTTGTCGGAGGGATAAGGATCCGGATCCGGTTGACGATACTCTTGATCCATTAATCAATAAGACTCCAGTTGATCCACTCCCTGTGAAAGTGGAAGAGAAAATTATTGAAAAGGAGAAAATTGTTGAGAAGGAGAAAATTGTTGAAATTCAAAAGGATAAAAGTCTTGAAGAGGATAAAACACAGAGTGAGTTGTTAAAGAATTATTAACCTTTTTTTTTGCTAAGTGGGCTCTACTGATAATCTCTAAAAAAGGTTTTCCCAAGGGCGACCACGATTTCGGTGGGGCGCACATTGCAAAAAAAAAATAGCGCCCTATTAGGTCTAAGGACCAGAATTTGTGAGTCATTATCAAATAATTTTTTTCAGGAAGCCTCGAACAATGCATGACACTAATCACTTCTGTTTCGGAAGCGATTAAACCAAAGCTCAAGGAATATGGACCGACAGAATGGGCACACTGTGTGCTCAAACCACTGAACGATACGGAACAAGTAACGGCAGATCAGGAGTTGAACTACTGTGCAAGGGAAAGACGGTGAGTGCGATAACTTCCTTCAAAATCAGTCTGTCCTGAGGTCTAAGCGTAGGCCAAATTAAGCAAGTGCGCTCTGATGCTAACAATTGTAATTTTCTGGAATTTTCTTTAGCCGCACTATTTGGGAAAACTAGTATTTACAGTTCGAGAGCGCGCGAAAGTAACATTGTTCAATAGAGCACACTTGCTTCTTTCCGGATTACCCATGACTATGCGCGGTTAGAATGGACGAGCTTACAATAAACAGCTCTAGGGAGCCCCTTGAAGTTGTATTCTAAGTTACCAATCTTCCAGCTACAACAACTTGGCGGTGAACAAGAAGACGATGGCCAATGTGGGAAAACACAAAGGAAAAACTCCAGAAGAACGGTTCGTCAACATCAACGAGATGCCGTACAAAGATAGAGTGATACTGATGGGACAGGCACCTCTGGATGGTTCGCACCCCAATGAGGCAGACACCCGTGAGAAGCAGTACTACGTATTCGATCACTACGACGTCAAAGTAGCCGCTCAACTGTGTCGA